ATGTTTTTCCTTAAATTCCTACAAAAAGCTGCTGGTTTTGGATGTTGTTTTCAAGGCATGAGCTTTGACTCAGCAATGTGTGCCTAGTAATAACTGATCATTATAGAAGTGGGATTTTCTTAGAAGCAGGAAATCAATGTTAAGAGTTTCTACTTTGAGCCATCAGCTGGAGAAGTGCTGAAAGAGAAAATTGTCCTGAAAGGCAAATGAGTCCTGTCACAGTTGAGTGTGTAAATGCAGATGGTAAATATTTCTTTGAGAACTTGTAAGAAAATCAAAATACATGGTACTTCTGTAGAGTTTACTTGACAGGAATGGTGTTTGTGTGTCTGCAATACCTTCACTGAGGTTGGTGTTTGTTACTGGTATTACTCTGTTTCTGTTGTGATACCCTAAGAAAGCAGAAGAGCCTTGTTATGTTCTAGCAATGCAGCTCCACACAGCAGCAAACATTTGGGATCAGAGTACAGGTCAATGAATCTTGCTCAACACCTTAAACCCAAAGTAGAGGGCAAATAGTTACAGTGGTCGCTTGTTTTCTTCACTAAAATAGAAGGACAGACTTAAAGATAGTGTAAATGCAACCTAAAAACTGAGAAACAAGAGCGATTGTTGAAGGGTGTCTTTAAAAATTCTCTTTACCTTTCTTCTCAGCAGTGAGAAAAAATATTCAGAGTAATTTTCTGCTTTTATATTGAGTAGATGGAATTGCCAAGCACGAGTAGAAGAGCCTTGTCTAGTGTTAGAAAATTCAAATTTGGACTTAGGGGTGTTTATGATTTAGTAAGATCCTTACAAACTTGGGAGAGATGACAAAATTCAAAACACGCCAAATCATGCAAGTCCAAGAAAAGAACTTCTGTTGCTTCTGAAAATGGATTCCAAGTTTCAGCCAAGGGAATCAAGGAGAATCTTGAGTGTTATGGTTGGATGCATAATAAGCTCTCAGGAGTGGATTTGATGTCAAGTCCTTAAAATACCACATATATAATTGTGTTCTCTATACGCACTTGGGATACTGTAGTCCCAGAGTGTGGATTCAGGGTTCTGCTGTGGCAAAACGTTCTGCTGCATGGTTTCTGTACTTTTGTCAGGGAAGATGGTTTTATCTTCAGTGCCACAGTTACTTAAAGATGAAAACTCCAAGGAAATGAGAAATGAACTGAAAACTGAAAAATGAGAAGTGAAAGTTTACACTGGATATTAGCCAAGAAATGTGCAACTGAATAAAGTATAATAGTAGTAAAACAGAATGCTTCTCTTCCACGGGAAAAGACTCTCTTATTTTTAATACTACTTTTTCCTTCTCTCTTTAGGTAACTGTGCATAATCCAGAAAATCAGAGCTATCTGATAGCATACAAAGACTCTCAGCTCATAGTCTCCTCAGCTAAGTAAGTTGTAGAAAAAAAATCCCCAAAAACCCCAGTTTTGCAAAATACTTTGCATGATAGGGTAGGGAAAAAAAAAAAAAGCTTTATACCAGAAGATTCTAGGGGTGAATAACCCCAAAATTTCCACTCTTGCTTTTTCATTGAGTGAAGTTCATGTAGATGGGGGTTTGGGCAACTACCTGAGTACTACCAGTGTGTAGGGCTGCTACTGTTGGGTCTATGGAAGCTGCAGACTGTGGATTCAGCTCCTTCTCTACTAAAAAGGAACACAGAAGAGGGTGAAGTGACATTTATTTATTGTGGTTTTGTCATGCTTAAGTGTTTACTGGAATGGAGCATAGCAGAATTGACAGTGTAACTAGGAATTAAAATAGTGAAATTCTGTTCTTGGCATTTCTCCCTGGCAGAGATTCTTGTACAAACACCTCTAACCCATTTACCAATCTGGGTGAGGTCTCAGTTGGCTGACAGAGCCTGTCTGCCCCTTGTATTGCTCTTCATAACAGAACAAATGAAGCTGAAAGTTTGACTCTGCAGACCTCATTGGAATTATGATTTCATGGTTGTAGGTTAGATATTTGGAGTATTTCTTTAAATAAAAATTAAGCAAACCACAATTTAATACGTTAGTTAAAACAGCATATATTTTTGACATTTCTGGTTTTCTTTGTAACTGAAATCAGTGTGGTAGTTTAACTGATGGTACACAGTAAAGTCATGCTTGTGGTCCATTAGTGGTACAAGATTAGAATTTTACTGTTGGGAAGTCATGTGTTTCTGAATGAAGTAGTTCTGAGAAGAGAACAAGAGAACATTCTGGTAACACCGTCACATTGTGTTGTGCTGGATAGTCAGAGGATATGAGAGGCTGGGTTTGTAGGAGCAGGAGATATCTTTTATAAGACCATGTGATGAAGCTGGAAAGGAAAATTAACTTGCTCTTGAATTATCAAGCTGATAAAAAGCTAAGATTTCCAGATTTTTGTTTTCACAATTTCCAGTTGATCTTATAAAAGGATTTTATAGGTGATAAGTTTATTATCTGTCCCTACAGACTGGGTGTCAGAAAAATTCTGCATAAAACTCTGTGTCAGGTTTTTCCCCTGTGAAACAAGTCTAAAGGTGGAATGTTCTGTATGTTGTAAAGATAATTTTGTTCTGCATCATCTCCCTGCAGAGCACTGCAGCATTGTGAGGAGTTAATCCAGCGATATAATCGTGCTGAAGACAGTATCTGTTTACCAGACAATAAGTCTGTGCCTCACCAGAATGTAACTAACCACGTGGGTAAAGCCGTGGAAGACTGTATGAGGGCCATCATTGGGGTCTTGCTCAACCTGACAAATGATAATGGTAAGACAACAAATATTTTTTGCATATTCTGTGCTGAGATGTCAAATAAACCATTAGTGTAAATATTTTTTTGTGTTGATGATGGTTTTTCAAATCCAGTGCTATAAAGGAATTATTCATGGTAGATGTTTGCTTACAGCCCTCAGTAATTTGTCTTTGCAAGCTGGGTGAAGAATTGCAAGCGTGAAATGTTTAGATGAGGGCTTGGACTGAGAGGGGCTGGTTTGTCATTAGAGCCAAAAGGTTTTTATTAGGCTGCTTACCATTATAAATGTGAATGTTTTCACTATTGAGCCTCTGAACTCTTTGTTTGCAGAATGGGGTAGTACAAAAACAGGTGAACAAGATGGTCTGATAGGCACAGCAATGAATTGTGTGCTTCAGGTTCCAAAGTTCCTACCTCAAGAGCAGAGATTTGATATCCGTGTGCTGGTAAGTTCTTGTATCTCATATCAACAGAAAAGTATTTGCCTCCTTCTTGTGCATTGAGCTGCTCTAGTTCCTTATTAAGGAATAGTTGCCCCTACAGTTTTCAGTGATCACGTATATACCTAAAGTGAAGTACTTAGTTTCTGGGGTTGGAGGGGTTTTTTCCCTATGTTAGGTGGGGAAAAGTGCACCGCTTGATGAACAAAGAGATTTAGCTAAATAAGTATATGAATTAATAATTTTCAAACATATTTTCAGTTTTGGAAATATGTTTCATATTATTGTTTGAGTTAAAAGCTTTGTCAGATTTACCTCAGCTTATATAAAATGGGTCAGAGTGGCCTAATTACAGCAGTGAAATTGCGTATGTGAGGGATCTCTTACAAACATAAGCTCAGGGTTGCACACCTGAATCCGTAACCTCTGTAAAGGAATTCTCAGCTCCAAAAATGTTTTCATGTTCAGAATTGGAAAAACAGATTCCTGCATAAAAGTTCTCCTGTACAGGGATCTCTGTTCTATCTTGTATTTCTTTAAATTCTGATCCCCTTGTCTGTCAGACTGTTTCATAAGTTGGGTATTCTCAGAAAGATAAGGCCAAAGATGTTCATTTAAATAGATGGTTTTTGTTAAATCAGCTTTTTTTACAGTGTGTGTAATCTTTTTTAACTCTCCAATTTTGCAGGGATTGGGTCTGTTAATCAATCTGGTGGAATACAGTGCCCGGAACAGGCACTGCCTTGTCAATATGGAAACATCATGTTCTTTCGACTCCTTGTGTACGGGCGAAGGCGATGAAAGCCTGAAGATAACTGGACAGATTGATGCTGTTCAGGCTTTAGTGCAGGTGAGAAGTGTTTGTCCTGCAGTAGTTCCCATTTCTCATTATCAGACTGTTGGGAGGAAGGGAGAACTCGGCAATGAAAATGTGTCAGTTTTTCTGTTCAGTATTTTGAGGAGTGGAGCAAGGTATGGGGAAGATTGCTGCTCACAACTCCGACTTCTGCACTGCTGTTCATTAAAGAAACAGCTTCCCTGTAAAAGACAGTGCTTTACAGACATCCAGTAAAACTCTTTTGTTCCCATACAATTTATTTCTAGTTTTATTGTTCCTAGATTATTTACTTTGACTTCTGTTTTAAACCATCTGTAAACTAGTTCTCTTAAATACTTTGCTTCCATAATTTTTTAAAAAATACTAAGTTTTTGGGACTTTGCAACTTTAAATTAAAAAACAAGGTAATCCTTTATAAAAAGCAATAAAATACAGATGTAGTGATTATGGATGTGAAACAGCATTCTTAAATTGACTGTAAGAAAAAAGAAATTCACCAATAAAATGAAGAAAATTTAAAAATATATTTTAAAAAATCCACCAATATTTTTGGTAAGTGAGTTTAACCACGCAAACTAAAATGAAAAAAGTGAAAGGAAATTACAGATGTTTTGTTGTAGTGGAGTTAATTTTATGGATGCTTTTCTCAGTTGTATTTAACTTTGTGAAATAACTGTTCAGTAGCAGACAAAAAAATCAGTAAAAATAATATTTAATATCTTAATGTATGTAGCTTGGCAAAGCTGTATTTCAAACTAGTGGTTGCATGGTTTAGGAAATAATTCACAAGAAATAAGTGTCTAATATGGGATTCCTTGTTCATTCACATTCTTTGCAAAGTCATTTTAAATGACTCCTCCTTTTTTTTGCTCTAAGGAAGCCAAGAAGGAATAATTAGCATGAAAAGGAAAATTGGTAGAGAACAAAAATGGACAGGAAATTACGGCAGCTTGTAGTCTTCCAGCCATGTCTCAAGGAAAGCGATTAAACTTTTACGATGCCCAAGAGGAGCCTGTCAAGTGGTTCAGCGCCAGCCAGGGAGATCTTGCTGTGGAGCACAGCACTGCTGTTGGGCCAGGTTATATTTTCCTTTAAGGAAGAAAAGCATATTGTTAAGAAAAGCATTGAAGGCTAATTGTATTAAGGGGTAAATTGTGAACAGGAAATAAAAGTATTAAGTCAATGTGTTTAGGGTTTAGTTTCTAACAGTAATTCTCCTGGAATTCCCCACATCAGCTGTTCCTGGAGTGTGAGCGAGCAGCACAGCTGGCCGAGAGCCAGACGGACGAGCTGATTAAAGAAGCTCCCACAGCTCAGCATGATAAGAGTGGGGAATGGCAGGAGACAAGTGGGGAGATCCAGTGGGTCTCCACAGAGAAGTCAGATAGCACTGAAGAGAAGGATAAGAAGGAAGAAGACGATGAAGAACTTGATCTTAATAAAGGTATGTTGTCTGGCTGTGATGAGCTCAGAAAAGGCAAAGAACGGTGTGATTGTATAAAATCCCTCCTTGTCCTCTGCTTCTTATCTACATCCAGTCTCTAGGGCTGGGATTTTCTCAGTGAAACTGCTGCATATATAGGAGCCATTCAGATCTGAAGCATGAGAAGTAGAAGCTGTTATACTGCTTTTACCTTTTATCTGTTTCTTAACAGAGCAAAATAAACCCCAAAAGAAACAGAAAAAAAACCCCAGAAAGTTTTGGGACACTCCATGTACAAAATATTCTGGAAAGGATGGTTTTTAGGCTGTTACCTTGTTCTTCTGGAACAGTCCTTGAAAGTTACCTGCCTTAATTTTGTTTCCCAGGGTTCTTGTTTCAATCTACTTTAAGGGTTGGGTTTTTTTCCCTCCTCTCTCTGTTTGCCTCTTCTGTCCCCATTTGCTTTTTGTCTGTCTTCTCCCTCTGTCAGTGGTGTTCGAGGTACCTGTGTAGTGCATTGATGTACTGCATCTTTGGTAGCTTGTTCTAGGAATTTGAGTATCTTTGACCTGTTACATAGTTTGTCTCTGGAAAATGGATCTGAAATATCATTCCTTCTTGCTTAATCTTCTAATAGTAGATGCAGTATATGACTTTTAATAGTGTTTTCATCTTATGTTAATAGGTGTGGTATATTACTTTTTCCAAGCTTGCTTTATATCCTTCCTCCTTTTTGTTGCTCCACAACTGGTGTCTGCAGTTATTTGTAGTTTTTCCCAAAATGCTGAGTCATCAGCAGAAAATGCTGTGCCTGTTATCCTTAACACAGTAAACTAATTTGGGGGAGGTTTTAGAGGCATATAGTATCACATGAAACATTTGCATTGGTAGTTTGGGGTGTTCAGCGTACAGTTTGCACATGGAAATGGCAAATGACAAAATTCCTGTGCAGCAGAATGAGTTGAAACTGAATGAAGACCATTTTTCTTGTCAAGAATGTGCTGCTGAGTCAGTGAGAGTGGTGTTTCCTGATCTCTGAAATCTCAGCCCAAAAGGTCGTTTTGTTTGAGGAAAAAGCATTCTGCAAAGTGATAATGAAGGATTGTATTTGCAGCAGTAAAAGATACCAGCTGCTTAGAGAATACAATAGACTGTTGTCTCTTTTACAGCTCTTCAGCATGCTGGGAAGCACATGGAAGACTGCATTGTGGCCTCATACACAGCATTGCTTCTAGGCTGTCTCTGCCAGGAGAGTCCAGTAAGGGAATAAGTTGATCTTAAGTCCAGTATAATGTTTAATGAAGTGATAATTTACTGTATTGAAAGGGGTTTATTAAATTTGGCTTCAGTGTGAGGAATATGTTGGTGAAGCTACACTGATGTATACAGTTTTGGGAAGAGTTGCCAGAGTTTTTTCCAGCCAAAACAAATTTTTTGAACATCCCTGTGTTTATCAAAAGCAGTTGGAATTGAATATTTGACCTCTTCTACCTCTCTCCCCTTCCTTGTAGCCAGCAAAGGAATTAACTTTGGAAGTGCAGAGGAAAATTGGCTAAGCCTGTTCCTTCTCAATAGTTTTAGTAAGCAATTTACCATAAGACTTATTTATTCTTTATCAGTCTGCTTTAGTTTTTTTCTTCCACTGAAATCAGATGAACTTGTGTGTGTCCCTATTAGTTCAAAATAATTATCAAGGATTGGAATATGTAATAGAAAGCTGAAGTTAAAAATATGGAACTCCAATGGCTGAGAACTCAGTAAAGTCTCCTATCAAAAATATGTTCACGTGAAAATTAGTTCAGATCTGCCTTCAGGCTTGTCTGAATTTACCATGTGCAGAAATGGGCTTTCAGGTGCTGTTCTGTGTCTTTGGACTGATCAGTGTCCATAACAGTTTCAGTGTTCTGAGACTGACAATGAGATCAGTAATTCTCAGCCCTTCACAGCTGTAAAGGGAGAGCCTCTCCCTATCAGGGGCGTGATCTGGTGGCTTGATAATCTTGTAGGTCCTGGGGATGGACGTCTGACAGGCGGGTTTTTTGGTTGTTTCTTTGTTTTTTAATTTCAACAAACCAACAATAAAAAATTATTTTAACAATTGCTTTCTGGAAACATAAACACAGTGAAGATATGAGTATTGCTTAAAAGAGACTTAAGTATATAAATAAATATACTTGTCTTAGTGCATCTCACATGCAGAGCATTATAGTTCTGTGACAGAAAAATGTTTCCCAAATAAGATGAGATTGTTTTATTTCTTAGATCAATGTGACTACTGTGAGGGAGTACTTGCCTGAAGGGGACTTCTCGATAATGACTGAAATGCTCAAAAAATTTCTCAGTTTTATGAACCTTACTGTAAGTAATACATATTTCAAGTTGATGTTTGAAGATATTTTTGTAATTCTGTGTTCTGTTAATATTTTATGCATTTTAGAAACATTAACATTTTTCAGTTTGTGTCTTCATAGAGCACAGGAAGTTATTTTGTTTTTTAATACTGAAAGGCCATTTGTCTGTCATAATTTTGTCTCTCATTATATTGTGATTGGCCAGGAAGATATTTCTGAATTGGCTGCCTGAACCTAGTTGCTTTTACTGATGCGTAATTGTAAATAGTAAAATTCTGAAAATAGAATAGCTCTCTGATATTTGAAGGAGGTGCTACAAATGCTTGTTTGTTACTTGTGTTTTCTGTTGCATTTCCAGTGTGCTGTTGGAACAACAGGCCAGAAATCTATCTCTAGGGTGATTGAATACTTGGAACACTGCTAGATACTTAACTTCCGCTGCAGGCACTCTAATGCTGGAGCTACCCTTAGACAAAAGAAATCGCCATGAAAGAAGTCCTTGAAGGATATACCAAGAGCATTCATCTGTGTCATTCGTGTTCGGATTTTTAAGGCTACCTGGTCTCTTAACCATGCATTCAGCATTTTCTAAAAGACAGTTACTACATCAATCTGCAACTATCAAAAATGAGGGGAAAAAGGTTCTGAGGAAAGTAAATAAAGAAACCTTGCTGTTTGTGATGCAGTGCAGTATTTAAATATTTTTGGCAGGGTTTACCCTCCCTATCTTTTTTCTTGCTTTGTTCGTGACAAGTTTCAAGGGAAAAACTTGCTGCTGATAGTGCAACTGCTGTTTACTGTTGAGCCACTGTTTCTTGCCAGCCAGGTGCAAAGGCAGCTTAGCTACTGAGGTATCAAACAAATGTTCTAATAAAGAAGTTCTGGACAGCAGCACCGCTCCTATTTGAGTTTAATTTGCTCCTGCTTTTTTTATTACTAGATTATTCCAAAATCATAAAATATAAATTTTTAAATACTTTTGTGATTTTAACTACTGTCTATATTTAAAATTTGTTGGAATCCAAAGAGGCGAGGATTGGATAGTTTATTTTTTATACTGTTTTGATTGAAATTTGGTCATTGAACTATTTCTCAGTTCTAAAACTCCCGTGGCCCACAAACTGTAACCTGCTAGACCATAACGCTTTGTAGTTCCAAGAGCATGCAGACCCATAAACACACAGAGCCATTGAGGGTATGTTATCCACTAAAGGAATAGTGACTGTAAAAAGTTGTGCCCTGTTTAAAATGCAAGTCAAATAAAGAAAAAAAAAAAAACCCAAACCATTTCAAAAACACTCACTCGCAGGGTAGTTTACACTTCCAATAAGCAAAAACTTTGAAATGCTGTTTTAATTTGTTTCAAGGAAGAACTCAAGGTGTGTTTTATAATGTTGAATACAATTAATTTGGATGCTTTAGGGGGAATAATTTTAAAGAAGCTAAAACACCAATGGGGATTCATGTTTCCAGCTGACATAATCTTTCTATTTCATCCTTCTGTAGTATGACAGAGTTGAAATGCATACAACACAAAGCCTTAAATTGCTGATATAGCTAAGATTTTGTTCAGTCTGAGGTCTAGTTCACAGCAAAGCATTGTGTTTGAGGACTTAAGTGGAACAAAGAATCCCAGAAAATACATGACTTTTTAAAGAATTTTTTTCTTGCACTCACTATTCAGACCAACAGAATTGATTATTAAGTATTTTTATTAAGGTGGTCTTGAATATTTGCAGACTGTTCTGCGATCTGCTTCGTTGACGTTTTGAAATACCTGTATAGGTAGTTACATCATGTTACTCCATTGAATTTGTAAAACTTGAAGCCATAAAAATATTAGTTCTATGTATAATGAGGGGGAAATAACAGGAAATCTAACCTGCTTTTAGATCTTGTGTTATCTCCGTGTATAAAGTTAAGAACTTGTGCTTTTGTATCAGTGCCAGCTGTAAATTTTTTACATACAGTGGCTGCCTTCTATGTCTTCCTATTTTTGATAATGCAGATTGTTGGGAATTCTGTAAGGAAGTAACTGATTAATGGCAAAAATCTTATGTTGGTCATTTTTTTTTTGCATTTTCTCTCATCACCTTCTAAAACTTAGTGTATCAGTGTAACTTAGAAAAGTTTTTGAGGTTGTGTTCCCCTTCTTCAAAAAAAACCAAACCAATATTGAGAGAGAGGGAAAAGGTGTACGTAAATGATCTGCATGAGGAGAAAATTAATAAATCTTTGGCCCATCTAGTTTTCAGATTTTAGAGATTTTCACATCTATAATGAGATTTCAAATTGATTATGTAGTTTCATGTGGAGAGATGGCAAGAGAAAAGAAGATGCAAATGTGATGATAGGGGAAAGCAGGGACAACTACCTTTCTTTGTTACACTGGTAATTGTTTGGGAATTGATTTACCTCAGTGTTTAACAGGTTGTTTTTTTTTAATGTAACTAATTGTCAAGCACTGACAAATGCAGATTTTTTTTTTTTTGAGGGTGGGGGGAGAAATCACCCTGTGAACTGCAGTGCATTTTTGTGTGTTAGACCCTCAAATAACTCTGCATTAAAGGGTACTTGAGGTCAACTTGCAAATTAAAGTTTTAAAGTAACATTTTTTCCATTGTAAATATTTGTGTAAATACTCTCAATTGGAAATTAGAACAGTAGAGTACTTTTCTGAATCCAATCCTATTTTTATTTTATACAGTATTTCTCAGCTGTGATCTTTGGAGCAAAAGCCAACGGCAGGAAAAATAGTTTGTACCAGTTTCATGAAGTATGTCTTTGGGTTTTTGTAAATAATTTTAACTCAAATAAAATTGCTACTTTCAATACATATCTTGTCTTTTAACATGCAATAAAACACTCCTCTGAGTGATTGCAGAAGGAAGGCAGTGTCAGGTAAATTGCTAAAAGAAAAAATGAAAAAAAAAAAAGGATGAAAAAAATGATCAAGGAGCATTCGGAATGTAGTGCTTTGCATTTCACCTGTGTGTTGGGACAATAAAATTCAGTGCCTGGACCTGAGGCTGTGGTCAGTCAAACCAGCCAAGGCTGGAAATTTTCTGGAGATGATGTATTGTGATGCATTTTGGAGTTCTCTGCACAAGTTGATCTTTCAGTAATAACTCTGGAAAGCTCTAGTCAGAATACCATAAATGTGATAGAACACAGGAAAAATGGCACAGTTCTTATGGTGAGACTTTTCACATCATGGGGGGTGTTAATGGCTTTAAGTGAAAAGGGAGGAAATTACCATGAATGTTACTCTGTTTCTTGATTAACAGGAATGATGCTTTAATTTCAGGATGGATTATTTCCATGGATTTTTTCTTGATTGGTACAACTAGCTATGGGTACAATATGCAATAATTCGTGAGCTGTAATGCTAGTTGAATGTGATGTGTCATCTCACTGCCACTTCGAACAAGCAGCAGCATAATGTAACATCATCTGTGCTGTGAGGGAATGGTACTGGAGTTTGAAACATGGAACAGTGTGTTATTAGTGTGTGGTACTGTAAAAGCCAAATGCAGCTTTATGTAAGCAAATGTTTTTTAAAAAATCTGGTAAGAGTATTTCCTCTTTTGTTGGTAGTTACGTAATGGAAGCATTGTGCGTGAATGCTTAGGGGTGACATCAGCATTTTCAGATTAACAGGATAATTGTGATGCTTCTACAGAAGATTTAGGAGTCACAGCCTTTCTCATAAATTATTTCCCTTTCAATCTGTTTTGAAGTGCTTGATTTGCCTAGGAGGAAGTGATGTGGTCTGGTGTGTATGGCACTTATTTATCTCGTATTTCCTTTCTGGGCATCACTAAGCAGAAGCCAGAGTATACTTGATTAGCTGGGGCTATAACCAGGCAAGCCCACGTAGCATTTCTAGTAAAGTTTTTTTTCGTGAATGTGGTACTTTTCTTGTTTAAAAGGCATGGAAAACCAAAAATGTGAATTTGAGTTCAAAAGACAAAGAGGATTTAGATTACTGCCATTCTTCTGCATCAAGCCTGCCCTTATTGGATGGCCTGTTAATTGGGTTTTTGAAGATAATGAAATAGGAGTTTACCCTGAATTCCAGTAGCCAAGTGTTTTCAAAACCAGGCCACTGTAGTTTTTGATACTGCTGCTTCTCTTCCTCTGTGTAATATATTAATTTGTCTTTGGAAAAAGGACACTATTGGGTTCTCTCAGCTGTGTGGAAGAGAAATCTTTCATACATACTCTTTTTTACTTGCCCTAAAGGTCCCCTATTTAAGGGATTGTAATTTGTTAAGACATTTGCAGCATCAGTGGGCTCAGATAGTCTTACTGTAAATAAAAATGAAACCATTATAAATAATGCAACAGCTAGAACGCCTTACCCAAGGGTAGATTGGTTTACTAATTATTCCAGCTGTGCGAACTGAACTGAATTTGCAGCTGTAGGTTGTGGCCCAGGTAACCACGCTTGGTGCGGTACAGCTGTGTGTGACAGCAGTGCTCTGGTGATGCACAGGGGGCTGATACATCTGTGTGTGACAGCAGTGCTCTGGTGATGCACAGGGGGCTCTGAGGAGCCCTGGGGGCTGTAAGGAGCCCTGGGGACAGCAGCCTTGCTGGGAGCAAAGGGAACTGCTCTGGAGTGAGCCTGACATCTGAGAGGCAGACATGTCGCATCTATCACCTGCTGTCTTCAGATTTATCTCCACATCTCCTAACCTGCAACTTGAACTGCAGTTCATCACTTGGAGAAGTAAATGCCAAAGACTTTCTCTCCATGTGTGGAAAGCCACATTGGTAAATAATGAGGAGTTGTGCAGGTAGTAGTACCTATTTCCAGAATCCTGGTCTGTCTTAGGTGGAATGAAGTTACTTAAAGGAAGGTTCATTGAACTTCTGCAGAGTAAAATCTGGTGGTATCTAAATGGGGACTCTGCTTAGAGTAAAAGAAAGAATAACACAAATTTTGTTAGATACACTGCTTAGTGTAGGAATCCTTTAAGTTTCCTGTATTATAACAGAAGATTCAGTTGTGTCTCTGCATTTAGTTTTTTAAAAGTGAGGAGGAAGAGTGTTAACCTGGGGTGTGAAGTGGCTGAAATTATGTCATTCCAGCTGACCCTATGATTATATCCTAGAAGGATAGTTATTTTGTTTCTTGTGTTTCCAGTACACAAGGCATGAAAACCAAGGTGAAAGGCATTACTGCAGAAGTTTGAAGTGAGAAAGGGAAGGAAGGCATTGATTTTATTAAATGATACCATTCAGGAGCCTTGCACACACTTTACCTGTGGGAATGATGTCAAAGGTGTGGAACTGTGGGATTTTATTCATCGATGTTTTGTTGGCCTCTTACCGCAAACGTGTGTCTCTTGAAAACATTTCTGGGGCAAGAAGTTGTAAAATATCCAGGTGGAGTTGTTTTCTGATCCAGTGTTAAATTTATAGTCTGAATTGAATTGAAGTACAAACCATAAGGAAGTCTTGGACTAAGATCACTTTGTGTCACAGCTCTGTGTAGAGGCATGAATTTGGGTTCAAAAGCTTGATATTCAGGTTACTGAGCCTTAAAAATGAGTTCAGTAATCTGTTACATAAAACTGGTGTGTTACATCTGGTGTCATTTTGCTGGCTCATATTTTAAATTTTTGTCTTCATTTGACAAAGACTTTTAAAGCAAAGCTGTCTTACCCAAATTAAAAATATCTAGGCTGAAGTGCTATAATTAAATTATACTTTAGCAGCAGAAATGGAACATTGTAAATTAAATAGAAGTGATGCAATTATTGTTTGTAGTCTCTTCTGCCCTGTTTTTAAAATGTAGCTATAAATTTTTAATAAGGAAATTCTTTTTTGTAGCAGAAAAATCTGATTGTAGTTTGTGTGCTGAGTATATTAATGCATCTGAAACATCCAGTTTCAGAATGGAGCTTCGTGTTGCAAAACAATGGTATTTTGTGATACCTTAGATTACAGTGAGAACCTTACTGAGGCTTTTGTGAGAAAAGATTTGTAGCTATTTTAGCCCAGATAATCATACAAGTTCCCTCTTACTTAATATAGGTTCTAATGGTTTTTCAAGTGTAATTTCAAATGTGAGACAAAAGCAAACACACAGGACTTCAAGTCATTTAAGTATCCCTGTAGAATATAAATTGAAATTACTGGAGAAAACCAGTAATCTAGAATGATTTTTTAGTCTATTATACATCCAGTCTAGGACTGTAAAAAAAAACCCCAAAACTTAAAATAATTCTGTTGAGAGAACTAAATTTTGATGCTCCTCACAAGAAGAGACAAATTACATCTATCCAGGTGTTGTTACACAATGTTAAGAGGTTTATACAAAGATGAACTGTATGTTAATTTTATGTAATACTTGTGATTAGCCTTCAGAAGTTCTCATGAGAACTGGTTTTTGCTCTTTGATACATGATACAGCTTCAGCTTTTTTTAAATCTGAAAATACCATAGGATCAATGTCCTTTGGTTTCTGAACTTTGCTGCCTGAGGACCAAGTAAAGCAGCTCTTGAACCACAGGTGTCTGCACAATCCCATCCTTCTCTGCAGATTTTACCTGGCCACCATTTTCAAAATGCTCAATTCAAAGCCTGCTAAGCTCAGTCAGTCCTGCGTTGTGGTGATGGTCTTTAAAGCTGAGCTCGGTGTTCTGTGAGAAAACCTCAGCAAATGCTGAGTTCTCAGCAAGACCCAAAGGGCTCTTGCGTCAGCGAGACCCAGGGAGCAGGGCCCGGTGCCAAACCCATGGCAAGGGGCTGGCGTGTGTGCAAGGGCTGTGCTCGGGTCACTGGAGCGCCGCCTCGGGCTCCGGCTGTTCACAAACAGCTCGGGCTGTTCACAGAGTCTGAACTGGAACGGGGGCAGGGCACCTGCTCAGGCTGTTTCGGCACCAGATCTTGCTGGTACCAGAACTCCCCCGTGTTTCCCAGGCTGATTTCAAAACCCATCTGGGTGCTGAGCCATTGTGAGCCTCATTCCAGTGAGAGCAGCACATGGCACCGTTGCAATGCACTTTTTCTTCTGGGACTAAGAAGAAATCTGGTCTAAAATGGCTCTTAAATTGCTACTGTTTCAGAATGGTGAGGTCTGCTTCCATCAGCCTAAGGTCCAGGCTGCATCATGGCACTTGGTTTATTGCCCACCTTTGCAGTGCCAATTCCACAGAAACACTGAGCACACATGAAGTTTGGAATCCTGAATTTTCACACCACAGTAAGAATCAGCACTAACTAATGCACTATGCAGAAGTAGGAGAAAATAGGAGATTGCCTGGAAGTAAACTCACCTGCCATGATGTCCAGTTACAAGAACTGATACTAGAGTAGAACTGGTTATTTATTTGAGATGCTGTGAAAGGTGTGAAACAGTCTTCTGATGTCGGTGTTTCAGAACAACCATAGTAAGCATCAAACTGCAAGGAACAAAAGGAAGATTTACAGGTATTTTGCTCTTTCTACTTTCATGAGGAGCGAACCAGGAGCTGCATAAATCTTAACAACACAGCTTCGAATCTGGCTTGCCAAAACAAGCTCAAGATCCTGAGCTCAAGAGTGACACATATTCCATTAGCAGGTTTCATGCTGATTCCTTCATCTTTGTAGAAACACAGTAGCTGCTGAAGGCATGTTTTGCCCCTGCTTCCTCTGATCAGCCCTGCAGCTGGCAATAGCCCCCAGGAATTATCTTGTGGAATTTCTGTGGCTCTCAAAACACTTGAAGGGTTGTTCTGGAGTCCTGTCTCTGTGATGCTCTGCCTGTGGCAATGGGGGAGAGCTGAGCTCTGCCTGCTGTGCATGTGTGGGCAGAGGAGGTGAGTGTGTCTGTGCTGGGCTCCAGAGTGCTTTGTTTATGCAAGGAGCTCTGTGAATGCACCTGGAGCCTTTCAAGGGGGATGCAGCACAGGCAGAGCAGAGTTCCCTGCTACTCTGAAGCTGCAGTATTGGTTTATGCTGTCCTGGTCACACTGGCTGGGAATTGCTTGTGTTACTGTTTAACAGGTACCACTCTGGTCAGACTGCAGGAGTGTTCAAAGGAGATCTTCTGAACGTATGGATTGGTGGTAATAATGTGGGATTTGGGATGGCAATGTGAGGCTCTATGAAAGGTAAGTGATAAGGTGTTAAATTGTGTCCTGCATGGGGTAAATGGATTATCAAACATGAGAAATGCCACCACACCTACTAGAGTAAACAAGTGACTTTATAAAAGAGATGATGCATGAATGTAGTGTACATGTAGGATACAGCTTCCTTGCAGCTCTTCTACTTAAACACAGGATTTACTAAGGAGACATCCCCACCAGTGTCTGCCAGACAAACAGAGTTCTGCTCTTACTGTTTGTCACTGTTTGCAGAGGATCTCAAGACAGAGAGCACACTGATTAAAAATAGACTTCTTGGAAATTTGGTGGAGGGAGGTGTCATGGAGGTGTCCTGTCAAAGCAAGAACTGTGTAGGTATCAAAAGAGCTATCAATCACTATCAGGGGCAACTGGTATGGACCAAGAGCCCTGAAGGAACACAGTGAGTGACTGGTTTATAACATGTCACTTGCAGGGGGAACTAGAGGAAGGACTCTGACTTTTGAAAGAGCTTCAGCAATAGTCCTAACGACAGGCTAGCAAGTTTAACCTCCTTCCAAAAGAAATTGCTGCAAGTTACACGCTAACAAAACACAGGCAGCTGGTGAGGTACTTGGCTAAATATTGGGGGGAACAAGAGAAACTGTAAGGATTGCTTTTAAAACTCCAGAGGAGCTTATAAGTAAGTAGGCGGGTGTGACAAAGTTAATATAAAGCCATGCAAATGTTTGTTGGGAGAAACTCTGGAGATCATCTAGTCCAAACCTGTGCTTGAAGCTAGTTCAGGTCAGCCCTGGCTGTGCCCTGCAAAGTCTTGAAAACATCTAATAGTGGAGATTGCATAGCCTCTCTTGGTAATCCACACCAGGGCTATGCTGTTCTCCTAGAGAGAGAAAAAAAAAAAAAAAAAAAAAAAAAAAAAAAAAAAAAAAGTAGGATGTACTTGTCAAGAAAAGAGAATAAAAGAAAAGGCCTACAAACAAAAAACTAAACCCAACAAAAGAACCAGAGTTTTCATGAAAGCTTCCTAAAGCCCCTAATCTGTGGAGACAGAAGAAAGACTTCTATTTGACTGACACACTTCCTTCAAGGGTTTAAAAGCAAAGAGCTGAGCAGAAATAGCAGTCTCATCCCTGCAGGAAAGGGGGACTCTGCTGAGTTACCACGGCCGTGCCGCGCTGATGTTTGGGTTCAAGACTGCCCTGACAAGAGGAGGGGCTGGATGGGAGGGGTGGGAAATGCGCCCTCAGCACTCTGTGGTTTTGGGTGTTTGTGGTCAGATACAAATCTGAGTGCCCAGAGCTGCACGGGTGTAGGCAATGACGGCCTGATTGGAAGCCGTCACAATGAACTTGTCACTGGTAAGTAATGCACGGGAGGAAAAATAACTCTGCTACAGCAGGTTAAACTGCAAATTAACTGTTGCCTGCGGGGGTGAGTCTAGCTATTCAACTCCAACAGAGAGCAGAACGACATTTGTAACATTAGGTGTAATTAGGAAACAAATAGAAAAAGAAAACAAGAACCATCTTTGTATCACAGGATGCATCCCTGATGTTGCCTTGTTCAGAACTCAGCATGGATTTTAGGCAGTAGCAAGGGGCAGATACTTTATCTTCTTTTTTTCCTGCTTTATACCCTGATTCATCAGTAATGTGGAATAGCCAGAAGAGGTTAAATAGTCCAGAATTCTTCAGCTTGAAGAAGTAATGACTGGAGATACATGACTGGCAACAGTAACAACAAAAAAAAATCAAGATGTGGAAAACATGAACAGAAATTGACTGCTTCTCCCAGTGCTCCCCTTTGTTCGTGTAGCAGGGAGTCCAGTGCAATTACCAGGTAACAGAATTTGAAATAAGCAAAAGGAAGTACACTTCAAGACTGCACAGAATTAAACTGTGGGACTTGCTGCCCCACAATCCTGGGAACAGTTCGCTTGGAATGTTCTGCTGCTGAACAGCAGCCTTTGCATGCCAGGCAGCTCAAGTGCACAGCAATGCATGAGGGAGCAGAGTCAGCTCTGGTTTTTGCAAGAGCTCATCTCTCCTTTCAAATATTGCCCCAGGCACCCCTGGCCGTGCCGTTCCTTGGTGGCAGTGCCATGTGTGTTCTGCAGTGTGCACATGCAGCACAAGCAGCTTTATTGCAGCTTATTCCTCAGTTACCTGGCAGTGTCCCAGACACTGCCTCAGGATTAGCTGGGCTTAAAGAGTCATGCCCCTGGCTGGCAATCCTGGAGAGGCGGACTGGCCAGGCCCTGGCTCCCTCCATAGGGCAGAGAGAGGATTTCCACCCCACTGCTTGGGTGGTAGTGTGGGTCTTTTCCTATTTCTTCTGTACTTTTGCAATGTATTTTCCCAAGATCACCATATGCCTGCTTATCCCCTTCCTGCTTCTTTTCTAGCTCTGATTTTCCTTCACCTGTCTGCCTTCTCCCAGCCTCCACATGCCTATTACCCCTTGTATAATTTGTATTCTTTTCAAAAACAATCCAAGTTCCCTCTGAAGAATCTGCTACACTCAGATTGTGTTTCCAAAAATACTAAACAAATGCCACAGACAGACATGCCTTGGCAACAAACCTTTCTCCCTCTTTGACCCAGGCTGGGGATGGCCTCAGTGCCGTGGACAGGTGTATCCCCTAGAGCAGTGCAGGTGTCACGAATGCGGGCTGCTGAGGACCCTCCTTAGCCAGCCCTACTGCTGCCCCCCGGGTGCACCACACGTGCCTTTCCCTTTGGGAAGCTCAGCTCTTTCCTCAGGGCTGCCGCGGTGACAGGGTGACAGGGAGGGATGGGAGATGGATGTGCAGCCCCGGGGCAGCCGCAGGAGCCGGGCTCAGGGCCCTCCGAATGCTGACAACAGCAGTTCACATCCCCAAATGTGCCACCTCTGAGCTCAACCCCTGCACTGCCACACGCCGCTTGTTCCGATCCCATCCGAGGATGTGGGAGGGCTCTGGCGGGGTTAGGAAAGCCAGGCTCCTTAATTGCACATGGAGGTGACCCAAATTCAAGGAGCTGCTGACAGAAATGGATACTGCTGTGCTCCACGGCCAGCTCTGGGTTAATTATTAAGGAGTGCTATTTTTAGTAAGTGTTTGCAATAGATACTGTGTGTCTGAAACCTTGTTCCCATGGAAGATCATCACAATATCATGTATTTCATTAATTTTAACCTTTATTCTATGCAATTAGTAGAAATGTTTCTAAAAACCTCTGCTTTTTTTCCCTGCCCCCTTCCTACTGGGAAGGCTAAACAATGGTATGAGTTCTAGGCATGCTTTCGAACATCACAGAAATGCAAGTTTGGCTAGGATATAAATATAAATCCTTAGAAGGCAGGAGACAGGAAGAGTTAGTTTACAACAAGATGGAGACTCTCTCAAAGTATAAATGTCTAAAGTTAAATTCAACAAATAATCTGCTATTCTGCCAATAAGAAATACACACTTTTAAAAACAAATTGAAAAAAATAATTGCAATCCTTGCAATCTTTCCTACAAAAGAGAGAAAAATCCTTAAGCAGCTCTTAGTATAATTTGCCTAAATTCATACACTGATTTACATGTAAAAGTACATTGCCATGACAACTTTTAAATCTTGCTAAATTCTAACTACTTACTAAATCCTTACTACTATTATTTTTTTTTCTTGCTCTACTTTCTAAAGTGACCTGTAGTCTGGGATCTCCTCCACACACAAGGACCATAAATCCTGCATCTGGAACTCTGAGTGCATTTTGAATACTACTGTTACAACAGAGTAGTTTTAAAGCTTGTTACCCTCAAAATCTTGTTAATCAAGAAACAGAAAACATATTGTATGTATATACACAAAGCCAAGAATTTATTGTTAGTATGGCTGAAATCTTAAGTTTAAGAATCATTATTAGTCTAGATCTAATTATTACAGAAAAAAAATACTTCTAAACAGAAAGAATTGCAATAACAATAATAATAACAACAACAACAACAATACAGCTAAGTCTCTTATACTCACAGTTCCAAGTTATTGCCCCTCTCCTGTTGTTGCACTCACCTTTCCACTTCTCAGGGTCCTCATGTTGCTGCTTGCAGTGTGGTGGTAGAGGTGCTAAGGGTGGTCACCAGCACACGAGGTCTTTTGGCTGGGAGGGATGTGGTGATGCCTCCATCTTTCTCACTCCAGGATCCACTTGGGGTCTTTTAATTTTTGCCAACAAACCTTCACACCCTGCTGCTTCATCACTGGTTTGCAACCCACATGATATCCAAATTTGCTGACGTATCTTGCATTTGGTGGAAACTTGTTCTTTGTTCTGTTAATGCATGAAAGGGTGGTTTTGTCTAACTCTAGGCCTGTGTTTTTAATGATAAAAAATGGTTGGTTTGTTTGTAGCTATGGGGCTTCCAGGGGCAAGCCCATGTCTTATCCTTTGTCATCTTATTCCTGTACTCCTCCCCACTGCATCCTGTGCCTCCTCCCCACTGCATCCTGTGCCTCCTCCTCTCAAGGCCTCTGCTACCACTCCAGGCCTGTGTTTTCTACATGTGACATAATTTATGTTAGTTGTATCTTTTTCCGCACAGAACAGTGACCTGTCAGTCCTGCCTGTGCACAACTACAGTGGTACCATACAAGGAGAAGCAAAAGTAAAACCAAGTCATCCATGACCATGGGATCAGAAGAAAAAATGCTGTTACAGCTAAGCCAAAAGAAAACTTGCAGGTAGGTCAGCAAATGTTCTGCCAAAGCAGGCAGAGCGTGACTCTGTGCTGAGGCCTCAGAGCAAAGCACGTGGGCTGTCCCCAG